CAAAAAAAAAAAAAAAAAAGAGCGTGGCTACTGTGGCAGCTTACCACCTGCCCTACTCAGAAGTTTCTTCCTCAGTCTAGCCTGACACAACATGCTCCAGAAAGGTCACCTCAAGATCAAAGAAGTTAGCTGAAATCAAGTTTGGCCATGACTTTTGTCCTCACTTGGGGCCAAAGGTTAGAGGTCATCACACACACCTTCTGCTTGAGGGCCTGGGTTTCCTTAGGCATCAGGGCATCTGCTTTGCCAATGACTGGGATGATGTTGACTTTCTCATGTACTGCCCGGAGGAAGGCCACATCTAGGGGCCGGAGCCTGAACCCAGAGATTGGTCAGTGTCGCCCCCAGGATGCAGAGATCCCCCAGCCCTCCCTAAGTGCCCCAGCCCCCAGGAGTGCCCTCAAACCCCCGGCCGAAGGGTGAGACAAAGTAGAGGCAGCAGTGGACTCGAGAATCCTGGATGTTCTTCCGGTTCAAACCACTCTCATCCCTAAGATACTGCTCAAACTGCTCCTCGATGAAGTGTACCACAGGCAGCCAGCTGGGATGTGGGGAGAGGATATACAGTCAGAGCAGAGGCAGCAGGGCAAGGGACAAGGCTAACCAGGACTATGAAGTGGGCAGTTGTTTCTTTGGCTCCAGCCAAAGATGTCGAGAGAAACTGGTGGGTGCATAGGTGAGATGTCAAGAAACACAGGATACGTTGGGCCTCATGGCCCACGGAAACAGATACAATCTTTTGGGTAAGGCAGCCAGGACAAACTAGCCCTGTAACTGACTCCTTGGTCTCCACACAGTAGCCGCTTTGAGAGGTTCAGCCTCTGTCCCCTCCCCTCTTCCTCACCAGTCCGAGCAGTCCACTGAGTCCCCAAAGCCAGGTGTGTCCACCAGGGTCAGCTTCACCTTAACACCTCCCTCCTCGATCTCCACACCCCGGCGCTCGATGGTCAGCGTTTGTGTCAAGCGAGCTATGGAATTGGGGAGCGGTCAGGGAGCTGGGCAGGGGTCTGAGGCAGGATTCATTTCCTTTCCCAGGGTCACAGTTGTCCCTACCCATTTTTTCAAGGGAGGAAATTCTCAGAAAAAAGCAATGAGCTACCTGAGTCCCAAGATGGAAAGGAAAAGAATAAAAGATTTAAAAAAGAAAGAAGAGCACACGTGGACATGGGAAAGAGGCAGCGGGCACTCCCTGAACGGGGGAAGGTCTTACCACTGGCCTCAGGCATCTGACGATCCTCATAGAGGTTGGTGAGGAACAGGCTATTGATGAGGGTGGATTTTCCCAGACCTGACTCCCCTGTGGACATGACAGGCCCAAGTGGTAAGGCGAGGGAACAGCCGGGTGTGCTCTTGAGGACACCCCCTTTCCTCTCCAGAACCCCCAGACCTGCCACCATGAGTGTGAAGTCAAAGCCCTTCTTGACGGACTTGCGGTGCAGCTGGTTGGGGAGGGCGGCAAAACCCACATACTCCTTGTCCTGTTGGGGAAGGGTGGATACCATGAAGCTATTGATAGGGGCAGGCAGCCACTCCCTCCCCCAGTATCACTTGAACTCAGGGGCTAGGAAAAGTGGGTTGCCCTGAGTCTGGGAACCCTGGAGATAGGGGCTGGGGGTCGAGATGCCTGTGCTGCTAGGCGTAAGGACTCACCATAGCTCCGCTAGCCCGACGCTGCACCTGGTATCGCTCCCCACTTCCTTCTGGTGGGGCCGGAAGTTAAGTGTGGCTAATGAGGGGGCGGGCATTACAGGCAGCTGAGATGCTCAAACTGGTGTAGGCCCAGAGAGGTGGAGAAAGGCAAGACCAAGAATTCCTGGGGTTCCCACCTCCCAGACCCCTTTGCCCATAACCCCGTAAACAACTTCAAACCCACCATTCACACACCTCTATTCTAAGCTCCACTGTAGCCCCGGCATCATGGTGAGAAGTGGGATGTGGACAGAAAGGAAGGAAGCAAACTGCTCTCTTTCACAGATGAGATGAAAGATTTGACAAGATGGTAAAAAACAGGCTGCACATGGTGGCTCATGCCTGCAATCCCAACACTTTGGGAGCCCGAGGTGGGAGGATCACTTGAATCCAGGATTTTAAGACCAGCCTGAGCAACATAGGGAGACACCCTTCCCTGATTCTACAAAATAAAAAGGCCACGGGGTCTGAGTGGACTAGAAGCTATGATGGGGGTGGGAAGGGCTATCAATTTTCCACCTCATGCAATGAATTCTTTTTTTTTTTTTTTGAGTTGGAGTCTCACTCTGTCACTCAGACGGGAGTACAGTGGCCACTCCCGGCCACCGCAGCCTCGACCTGCTGGTCTCCGGCGATCCTTCCGCCTCAGCCTTCCAAGTAGCTGGAACTACAGGC